TCAAAAAAGTAAATTTTTTAAGACAAATCATGCACAATTTTAATCAATTTTCCCAGTTCTTTTAAAAAAAAAAAATGGCCGACCAAAAAATTCCTTAAAGTTTGACATAGAATATACCGTAACTAATTAATGGATGGCACTGGACTTTATTTTAAAATAAATTTTACTGCAATAACATGTGTATGTGTAGTACAGATTCAACCATTAATAAAAAATTTGTCAAACACTAGAGCATGATTCATAACTTCAAAATTAAAGAGTTGTCATTTAATCTTTAATTTACAATTGTATTGCCTTTAATAGAATATCTTAATAATTAAGAATTTAATTTTTATATTAAAAATTTTTAAATTTAAGATTTAAAATAAATAAAAAAAGTTTAAAAAAATTATTTTTTATTATATAATTTATCTTTATATGCAAAAAAAAAACTTATAACTGTGATACCTTTGTAGTAAATAAAAAAAAATTAAGACTTTCTTTTTTTCCAAGGGTAAATTAGATATTCACCCAAACTCCATTGAGTTTTTCGTAATTTAACAAAACCTTCAAAAGTTTCAACGCGATGAATGGCAAACATGTAAATAATATAGAAACTAGTGGCAATATTGTAGCAAGCTTTTTTTTATAGACCTTTCCGTCCACCTTTCCTTCCGGGATTGTCCGTGTCTCTCTTTTACCTATCGGCCGCTTCCTGCCAAGTCTTGAGTTCTTCTATTTTCTCTTATTTTCTTGCTTCGTTCCTGTACAATTTCACACCTATTCAAGCAATTTATTTAGAGGAATCAAATCCAACAGGAAGCAAGAATGGCTCTGAAAATGAATCGGGCGACCTTCGCTCCTCCCTGCAAGCTCCCTCCGCGTCTCCAGACCCTCAGATCTTCCAAGTTTTCCATGGCCTCAACTCTCCACCCTACCACAAAGTGAGTAAACCCATTACTTTTCATTTCCCATTTTCATTTCACCATATTGGTCTATCTTTTGATCATGGGGCTTCTGGGTGTCTCTCTCGGGGAATATGTTGCTGGGTATGATCAAAGACTGAATTTTTCATCTGGGTTGTTTGTATTTGATGATACAGGGGCTTAAGATTTCTGGATTTAAGATTTTGATTTTGTTTGATTGTCACTCCATTGGTGAATCAATAGATTCTCTTATTCCTTTTTTTTTTTTTCTGTAAATAGCATTTTTTTTATTTTCAATTTTCACATGTTTTCATTTATTATTATTTTTAATTCCACTTGTTGAGAGTAGGTCTGAATTCATGAGTTAGCTTATAGTTTTGGAACTAGGTGCTGTTGGTTGACTGGCTCCCCTTTTCATAGGTGGAATTTTAAGGACTTTATTTTGTTGGGAAGTGATTTTCTCGTTTTATAGCCTTTCTTCGAAATTTTGAGCAAGTTCTTTTAAAATGTTTGCTAATAATATATGGCTAAATTAACTTGTGATTTATAATCC